TAACGTAGTAGTACAACTAGTACTAACTATTATTTAGTTACGTTAGTAGTAATAATTACTTTACCTTTTCTTACGTCGTGTCGTCGTCGTCTCTTCTCTCTCTCTCTCTCTCTCTCTCTTATATATATATATATATATATATATATATATATATATATGGGAAAAGATCCTGTCAGCCCACGGGCTAATAGCTACAATGTCAGCCGACGGCCCATATTGAATCTGGGCCTAATTCAATGGTCACGATCTTATTTCATATTTGAATTTTCATTTTTTTATACAAATCCAAATCACTTGAAATTTTGAGCGTCTATTCTTAAAAATAACATAATTTAATAAAAATATTTAAAAATAAATAAATAAATATAAATTGACCAAAATACTCTCAAATTTTTTGGGGATATTTTGGTTAATTTATATTTTACGAATTAATTTTTTATATTTTTATTAAGTGTGCCTTGATGAGTAGAATTTACACCTAAATTTTCAAGTGATTTGGATTTGTAGAAAAAAAAAATGAAAATTCAAATACGAAATAAGGTCGTGATTGTCAGATCGCTCAGATTTAGTCTGGGCCAGTGGCTAACACTGTAGCAGTTAGCCTATGGATTGACATCATCCATTCCCTATATATATATATATATGAAGATACTACAAAACGCTTATAGGCGAAAATGAACAGTGATTTTGCCTGCCCTCTTCACCGTCCAAAGTTCATCGCATAGTCATGATTGTTCGGTAGTGTTTTTTTTGTTTTTTTTTTTTTCTACAAATCGAAATGACCTGAAATTTGGAGCATGTGTTCATAAAAAATAAGAGAATCTACAAAAATTATTTTTTTGTAAATTATTATTATTATTATTATTATTTTATTAGGTGCACCTCATTAAGATGTACACACACTCCAAATTTTAGGTCATTCTGATTTGTAGAAAAAAAATGAAACACTACCCGACAATCGTGACTGTGTGATGAACTTTGGACGATGATGAGGGTAGGCGAAATCATTGTTCATTTTTGCCTATAGGCGTTGGGAAGAATTTTTATATATATATATATATATATAGAGAGAGAGAGTGAGAACTCAGCTAATTCTCAAGGCAAATGAGTTTTGGACTTTGATTCGAAGTTCAAACCCTCAGCTAATTCTCAAGGCAAATGAGTTTTGGACTTTGATTCGAAGTTCAAACCCACTAATGGTACTCAGTGACAATAAACTCGCTTAAACTACACTATGGAGTCACTATCTTTTCACTGGGGCAAGCTTTTTATACTTCGTCTACAGCATAAAACTTATATACTTCCTTTTATCCAACCCTCCATTCTGAATGGAGGGTTAAGATTGCCCAATCACAATGTCACGTCTTTGCACTATTTTATTTTTAATGTTTTTTCTATGAACAATGTTGACACCAAATTTTGGACGTCCAATCTTCTATTAAACTCGCACTAACGAAAAATATAAAAAAAAATATTTTCAATAAAATAAATTGACCAAAATACCCTTGAAAGTTTCAAGTGGTATTTTGGTCATTATATTTTATTGAAAAATCATTTTTAATATTTTTTATATGTGTGCCCCAATGAGAAGATGGCACGTACCAAATGTTATATTCATACAATTTTTATAAAAAAAAACTAAAAATAAAATACTTTGAGACAAACGGTGCGTGGCTCTCTTGATGAAAATTAGACGGCTGGATGGTAGGGGAAGCATAGATCTTCTATATTGTAGGAGAAGTATAGAAACCCTTCCCTTCACGATGATGCCTATGTTAATGGATTTATTGGTAGCAGCTCAAGTTTCCAATCAAGCCAGCTGACCTGAAGAAGAGGATCGAGAGCCTAATCGACCGGGAGTATCTTGAGCGCGACAAGAGCAATCCCCAGATATACAACTACCTTGCTTGATGCTAAAAAACAAGCATTCTCATTAGCCATGCTTTCGTCGTGCTGCATCGTGGATTGCACACATTTGTGTACTCTTGGTGCAAGGATGCTGGTATATTGTGGGATATATGGGTGTACAGGAAACTTGATCTTTGTTGTTTACATACTCCAGCAGTTTATGACTGGGGGCTGGAAAAAAAAAAAGAAAAAAAGAAAACTCACTCATTTTATTTCTCTTGCAGAATTTTCCCCCTATTTGGAATTTGATAAATGCTTATCTTAGAATGTTGCTGAGGCTCGTGCACATGCATCGTATAGTTGTATGCCATTTATTCAGCTTGAATGTCATAGTAACCTTCCAAAATTTATTTGCCTCTTGTACCAAGAGACTGAAATTGCACAGAAGCTATTTCACTATAAAACTTGGGCTTAAAAGATTTTTGTTCCCCCTTTCGTGCTTCAATGTATCTGATTTATTTGTAAACAGAAGTAGAAAGCGAATAAATTACAAGAATATAAAATTTGAATATATTCAGATAACAGGGAACAATTTAAGAGAGAAGTACTCAAGACTGCAGTGATTAGCGAGTGGATCATGTTTATTATGGTTAATTAGCAGTAGCATAATCATTCATGAAACTATGAATCACATATTTACAACAAATGTCTGGTGTCTGCATGTAAGACTTGTTTTTCCTCCCAATATATCGTAAGCTTTATTCTAATCGGCTTGGCCTTTGGTTTCCAAACCACCATTTAGAGTTTTGTCATCTAATTTTTCTTTTAGCTTTTCCTAGTTCACATGGCGTATCTGTTTTGGATAGGGTTTAAGTGCATCCCGACGAGTCCCCTTTCAATGTTCATCTAGCTGATGGATAGGGTTCAGCCATAACTCATCTTCAATACAATACGCCGATGACACCCTCTTTTTTTGGGAGGCTTGCCTTGATTTTAATTTTCAAAGTTCTGGGTCTGAGAAGAGGTACATGTTTTTTGTCTGCTTGTTTTAATTTTCAAAGATCATTAGATCGACATTAGTTTCAGAGCTTTAAATTTGTGGAGAACTGAATATACAGTGATTTATAACGTGCTTTGCGTCCCACAACTCTAAAAAAATCAAGGTTGATGCGAGAAAAGCTAACTCACCAGTAACTTCTCAGTTTTTTTTTGGTAAATGGTTCACAAAGGGTCATGGGTCCATGTAAGGCACCCCAGTCCTATAACAAGGACACTTGCTATTACAGATGCATTGTTAAAATCACAAGTTCTTCCGGCACTAAATTTGAGTCCGTTCAAGTGGCGCATCACCAGAAATCCGATCTCTAGTTTGCTCAGGGAAATGCTTGGAATGGCGCTACCAAGAAGTTAGCGAGAGAGAGAGAATGATAAAAAAGGTAAAAATATATTATTTTAGATTTGGATGCAGTTTTTAGTAAGGTCTAGGCTTATGAAAACAAAGTAAAGCTCCAGCATAAATCTTCATTCGAAAAGTACTTTGGCCATCGGAAATCTCTATGATTGTTCTAAAATCGATTTCCAACACCGACCATGAAATTAGGCTTCCAGGAAAAGGAGTTGACCGATTTTGTATCTAGCAGTACCTTGGTACTTCCTTATTTTATTAACACAATAGTCAATTTACTCAAAAAAAAAATACCGACCATGAAATTTGAAGGTTAAAAAAAATATAAATCTTGCATATCCGTGAACATTTATTTTTAAGGCAAAATAGACAGTCTATATAATGTATTACAATATACACTATTTTAGGGCTCAAAATCCTAAATTTTTTTCACCACGCTAAGACCGAGATGATTGATTTTGAAAGTTTTCCAACTCTATAACTATAATTTTTAGTGAGCTTTAATGTGAGGTTTTACTTAATTTGATAGGATTGTAGCTCTATCGAAACAATTTTCTTAGCACAATTTTATTCCTACAAATAAAGCTTCTCACATTTTAGAGACAATGGGAGAGAGCACGAGGGACAAGAGAGGGAATTTCTTTTGGGTCAATAAAAGAGGGGTGCAATTTGAATAGAGCCAAAGCTCTAAACAATTAAAGCGTACATTCAAATCGTATCGAATGGTTGCAATATTAGAAATGTTTGTGATAGCCTTAAAATATATTTTCATATTTAGTTATAAAATCACGTAAATTTATAAAAAACTTTAAAATTGATTGTCAAAAATATATTAGATGATGCACTATTTCCAAAACTTAAAATCCATTTTTTTTTTTTTTATGTCCATGCATCATTAGAGATAATCAATTTGAGGAAGGAATTTTTGAGATGGGCCCTAATTTGATTGTTTAGGGCCTGGGCTCTATATAAATATTTCCCATAAAAGGGAGGGGGAATTGGACTGTGGAAAGAGGCGAGAGATGAGGTGGGCTTCCTCGTTTATGTGGAGGCCTTAAAATGAAGCCATATGTGCACTCGATGCGGACCTTCTACACCTTCTTTCTTTTAAAAGCGAGAGTGAAAGGTAAATGGCGACGACGCCAGCACCATCAATGCACCATCTGACGAGGGCCATGGCTAGCGACGCGGCGGGCGCCGGCGCCCGGCGGATTCTCGTGTGCGGGGGCGGCGTGATTGGCATCTGCACCGCCTTTTTCCTTGCGAAGAAGGGTGCCTCTGTGGGCCTCGTAGAGAAGTCCGCCATTGCCTGTGCGGCTTCTGGAAAGGCCGGTGGCTTCCTTGCCCTCGACTGGTGTGACGGAAGCCCCCTTGGTCCCCTTGCTCGTGCAAGCTTTCGCCTCCATCAAACCCTGGCCCAAGAGCTTGATGGCCCTAGAGCCTATGGTTACCGCCCCCTCAACGCGCTGAGCCTCACTTTCAGCGAACAACCAAATGCTTACAAAGTGGTGGCGGGTGGCGTGTCTCCATGGATTGATGGCCCTGTCCGACGCCTATCCACTATTGGCACCCCTGAGACCACTGCCCAGGTTCACCCCAAGCTGTTCTCGGAGACGCTTCTGAGAGCGGCCAGAGACCGATATGGGGTGGAGGTGGTGATGGGGGAGGTTGAGAGTGTGGAGGTGGAGGGTGGGCGTGTTCGGGGAGTGCTGGTGGGTGGTGAGCTCCTCCCTGCGGATGCAGTCGTGTTGGCACTCGGTCCATGGTCGAATAGGCTTCCGCTCTTATCTTCCATTTTCCGGGTGTCAGGGGTGAAGGCGCATAGCATCGTCCTCGAGCCCCATGATCCCAAAGCCATCACACCGCATGCCTTGTTCCTTCGATACATAACTGCCCAGGGAGTGGAGATCGACCCCGAGGTGTACCCTAGACCTACTGGTAAGCTTCTGTCTCTTGTATGCCCTTTGATCTTGTTGGGACATACAACAATGTCGAGCTAGGAGCGAGCCACTCTGCCTATATATGTGTTTGTGTATGTGTACAATTTACTCATTGTATTTGTGGGTGGTGATGGTGGTGTTGCATAGGGGAAGTCTATGTTTGTGGGATGTCGGAAACAACAGAGGTACCGGATGATCCCCAACAAATCACGCCAAAGGAGGAGTCGGTGGCGATGTTGCACAGGGTGGCAGCTACAGTGTCAAGCCATCTGAGAGGGGCACAGGTGAAGGAAGAGCAGGCCTGCTTCTTGCCTTGTTCAGAGGACGGGCACCCCATCATAGGGAGGGTGCCCAATGTTGGGGGGGTGTATGTTGCCACTGCACACAGCTGTTGGGGCATACTCAATGGGCCGGCCACGGGTGCAGCCCTGGCTGAGTTGATCTTGGAGGGCAGGGCCTCCATTGTGGATTTGGAGCCCTTTAATCCTGGAAGGTTCATTTGATCATGCTTTCAACAGGGAAGACTACAGTCGTTGGAGCTTTCTGATGGCAAGTGTTTCAAGTAGCTCTTTGGTTGGGTGTTCTTGTGCTACATTTACACACAGGATAATGAGGGTGAAGCTGCATGGCTCAATAAGCAAGAGGACCCATGCCCCTACTGTCAATTTCTGCTTTTCTGTTCGTGTTTTCTCCTTTATCCTCCCATTTTAATCTTTCTTCAGTCCCTGATGTACATGTCTCCATTTGTATTTAATCTCTGAGAATAACTTAGATGCACACGCTTACACTCCATGAGTTGATGGTTAACTATAAAAAGGATTTGTCAAAAGAAAAGGAATACATTAAACAGTCATCCACTTCATGTTTATGGTTAATGGTCAAAAGAAAGAACATCATCAAACAGTTCTTAGTGTGTGTCTCTTCAAGGATCTCGCTCCTGTGCTCCCAGCAAGGGATCTTCAATAATCACGCTTTTAAAATTTTGGGATCGGGGTTGAAATTCTGATAACCGATAATTGCAAATACAGATAATAATCGTAATTTTAGAGCAAGATAATGCTTTCCCATATAAACATCAAACGGAGCTATTATAAAACTGGTGACGCAACAAATAACCAAAGTTCAATATTCCAGATACAACATTACTCTCCTCAACGTAGTATAGGGTGTCATGACCCTAACTTCCTTTTGCTTCCGAGTCAACGTCCTTCCCCTAATCCTGTTATCCTTAACATTTGCCAGCTTCCATGTGCAATGCCCAGACTCGGCATCGACTGAGTCAAATTGGACAATTTGTTTCTTGAGCTTCCCTTCTGATGATTCCTCATCCAAGTAGGTAATTCGCATGGGCATGTCTTTGAAGCGTTCTAGCTCTTGTGGCACCCTCAGTAGTCGCTCTGCTCCAGGAGAAGAGACCTACATAATTCAAAAGGAAAATTCTTCTTCAGGAGAATATTTGATTTTCTTAGAACATTCTGCCTCATTAGGAGAAGAGACCTACATAATTCAAAAGGAAAATTCTTCTTCAGGATAATATTTGATTTTCTACGAACATTCTGCCTCATTGAGCAAGCTCAATGACAGAGCTCTACACTTGAGCAATTGGAGTAACGTTTGAAGAGAGATTCCGGTTTGCCTTTTGATTAAACTTCGAAGAGTATAACAAACAAATATATGAAATAATCAGCAGAACTTTTGCTTTGGGTGCCAGTCCAATTTTGGGCAGCTGAAAAACAGAAAAGGATGAAACACTTGATTTAGGCCAAATCACAAATTTGAGCTGAAAAACAGAAAAGGATGAAACGCTTGATTTAGGCCTAATCGCAAACCAAATTTGTGTAAATTTTGAATTTAACCATATGAGAAAAGAAAGGCCCAAGAATGAAGCTTGGGCACGTACCAAAAATGGAGCCCTTTATAATAGTTCAAAATGCATTTTGAACAATATTCTTTTGGTAATTGCATGGAATACTAGGTCCAAAATTACCTCTAGAGCCAAATCCATTGGTATGTCTCCTTGTTCTCCAACTGCGTCAAGCCGTTTCTTATAAAGACAGCTGAATGTTTTAATCTCCTCCATGCTAGGACAACCATATCTGTTAATGGAGAAATCAATAAGATAAACACAATTGAAGTTGTCAGAAAGCTCCCAATTCACAGTGGGACATCCAAAGTGAATGCTGGAAACTTCAAGGATGCGCATTTAAAACTCCATAAACATTGACAGGGAAATTTCATCAGATATCACCAAATACATCCAAATACAACCAATCTATACATTGAGATAACTAAAATTTGTTGAGATACTCAAATTCATCAATAGGTTACTTTCATATTCATTCTTATTCGTATTCTGTGTTTTTGATACTGTGAATATCGCATTGAAGGAAAAGAGAGATTACAAAGATACAGAACAGCCCAGGAGCAGACGAAGTCACCGAGATTCTTATTGATATTCTTATGTCTTGGCGTTGTTTATTGTAGGTTTGGTCCCGTATATAATAAAGGAAGTGGACTCCACGTCCTTACAACCTACAAAACGCAACAAGCAGTTGTTTGGGAATGTGATCATACTTAACATAGAAAACAATCTAATTAGTCAATTAATTAAAACAAATTTACGCAAATGCAATTATAAAGGTCATCAGGGGATGAAAGGTTCATGTAAAAACATACTTAGGCTCCATTTGGATGAATGTACTGACGATAGGGGTTGTTTGGAAGTAAGTGGAACAGTTATTTTTTTGTCCTCAATAGTTGCGGTGTTTCGGCAGTATTTTCTTAATAAACAAGGGCCTTGCCCCTGAATATAGAGCAGACAAGCTACCCTGTTTTTCTCTTCTAAATGGGGAGAGAAAAGAATATCACTTATGCTTAATGAATGGTCCATCTAAACAGGCCTTAGTGGTTCTACATATTTGATAAGTGATGAAATACCTTTGGAGAGGTTGCAAGTCATAATAGAACCAGCAGATTGGAGTAGAAAGTCATAAAACACTTCAAAGGAACCACATGCCTGCAGAGCCGCATTGGTAAAGGACATATATCAAAGGGCTACTTTAGCAATCTATGCAATGAAGACATGTAGTAAGCACATGTGGAGGTCTATTTAACATCTATGTAATGAAAACAACATGCAGCATGCATGTATGGTGTATTTAAACCTAATTTTTTACGGTGGCACTCGGGAAGACCCTGGCCAAAGCAGGAACAAGATTCCTTGGGGATTATGCTCGTGCCATTCTCAAGGCCTTTGGAGTCCCTAACTCAACCAAAGCAGAAGCAAAGGCCCTTCTTGAGGGAATCAGAATTGCAATCAATCATCCATGGTTCCCCTTAAGTCTGGAAGATGCTTGTTTGAATGTAATCCAGTGGTCTAGCAAGTTGTTAAAAGTGCCTTGAGGAGTTAGACATTGTTGAGGAAGTTATTGATTCATGCGATCACCAAGTGGTCCTTTTTCGCCAAGTCAAAATCATTTTATAAGAGGGGCTGTAGGGACAACTAATTCGTTGGTGCCACATTGGGCCATAGGACCTCAAAACACATTTGATTGTTCACCTGCCCAAGAGAATGAGGCCTCGTGCCAGAGCCCATGTCGGCCACAACCTTTAAGAATAGAATTCCATTGCTAGAAACAAACAGAAGATAAAGTGCGCACAGACATGCACATAAATAGATTATATTCATAGATTCCTACATATATGTATCTGCACAGCACCAACCAGTGCCAGGGTATCCAATTGGAACACTTCTCATAAGAAGGTCTATGCAAAGACAACTTGCCCTTAATTAGATAGCTAGCCAATCAGACCAAGATGTGGAAACCCCAAGTTAGGTAATGGAATTCCAAGTCCCCTTAATTTGAAACCCTTCATTTAGAATGAAGAACAAAGCCTTACACTAACTATTCCCTTTCGAACATCACTCAGTTATAGAATCAAATTGAGCTGAGGCAAGAGCAGGGAAGTCATCCATAAACTAGCACGATAATTTGATGAAACGCTCTTATCATGGATCTCCAGCCTTAGCTGCTCAAGATCCCTTTTAAGGGTCTCAGAATAGGAACTATGACTGCAATTGAAAAACTTCGTGCATCACAAATACTGAACCCTATGAAAGTGCATCTTGGTCAGCTGCAACAGAAATCAGATAGAAGCACCTTAAGTCGACAAAAGACACCTCCATATTCTCTGTACAAAGGCAACCATAGGATACTCGTTACCAGGGGCACATGTACTGTTCAATATTGCCAAAGGCCAACAATCTCGCCTCCTAAATTACTGCTGTTGATTCTATTTGAAGTAAGAATTGTAAGCAATGGTGTTTCACTTCAATTTTAGTAGATGTTGTATTGATTATACACTATTTCAATCAACTTTCTAGTGAAAGTTTACTCAGCATCTCCTAAAAGGATTATGACAAGTATGCTTAGTTATGCATAAGGATGAAAGGTAAGTCGAGAACATACAATTTTCATACAATTGACAGCAAAACCATATTCAAAAGTGGGAAGATTGGACACATTTAGCAATCTTAAATGACAGATTTAGCAAACATTTGACCATAGAGCTCAGCCAAATGGATGCAGCACACAAATAATAAAGAATTGTGACATTAAAAGACTTGAGGTTATTGCCTGTTATGAACAAAGAAAACATGCTCATGCTAGGAAGATTCTACAATATTGCAATATTAAACAACACAACGTAGTCAAATGCAAACAAGGCACAACATTCTGAAGACTTCTAATGCAGAACTGTGAATCACCAAGTAGCTAATTCTGGCCACATAAGCAGTGTACTAAGATACCAAGTAACAAACAAGACTACAGGCCTCATTTTGAATCGAATGAGCCACAACATTCATAAATAGGAGTTTAATATTGACCAAACTTGTTCACAAGTCTCTTGATCCTAAATGGTGGGTAACTTAATGAAAATTAGTACAGCAATTTCACCCCAAATGACTCCCCATATTTTTCTTTGCATGGCTATTAGGATGTTACCAGAACAGTTGTACATCATGTGATACCGAAATATGCATACTTAACTCATGTTATTTACGATAAGTAGCATCTAAAAAGATCGATTCTATCTAAACAAATCATACGCACAAAGGACCAGTGTGTGAGAAAGGCATACTTATTGGAAAGTCTGTCCAAACGCACATATATGTATCCACGATGAGAGGCCTTGAATGCAAAAAGTTTCAATTCATCTCTGAATTGAAGTAGAACTTCATGTGCCAGTGATAAAACTCTCTCACCCCACGGCAAGTCTCTCAGCACAATGCCTCCACCATCCCCACCATCATCCATCTAGTCAGAAAGTAATAATAGTGAAGAAGAAGAAAATTTCATCAACCTGGACATATGTTTCAGAACCAGGACACAGGTCAGGACTCGCTAGGTTCCCGAGCCTGAATCAACCAGTTCGACTTGGCCAAGTCAGATCAAGATTCACCCAAGTCTGTATAAATAAATGGACAATCTAAAATTAGGTGACAACACGACTATAGGAAGTGTCATGGTCCAGATCCAAGACTCACCAAGTTGGCTCAGTGATTCTTTAAATGCTGACCAGGATAACACATGATATGGGTCAATTTACGACAGGCCACTATTATGATTGAACGCCATTGCCCAACGGGCGTAGACCCATCCATGACATGATTGTCGTTGATAGTTAGTGGGACCCACCAGAGCAGGATGCGTGGGTCGCGGGCCTATCTGCCTTTGGGCCATCATCGCATAAGACAGTCGACCCCAATAATGGACCATGGTTTTCCATCATAACCCATTGACCTGTCATATGCTCCCCCCCTCTGATTTATATCGAATTCTTGGTGGACAGCAAAGACAAGGAGTTCATACCTCAGGCTCAACCTCCTCCTCTTCTTCCCAACCATCATTCTCTCTTTCCTCAGTCAAATCAGTGTCTCTGTCTTTCTCAGTGAAACCAATCTCACCTTCCTCTTTCTCGATGAAATCTGTAATTTATGATGAGTTTAGAACGAATTAAAAGCCTGTGAAACCATCCTCATTGTAAAGAAAACAACAACTACTAAATCAGCGGTGCAATAAGTTGACTTCTGAAGTATGCATCAATGAGAGAGCCACAACAGTAAAAACCAGCAGACATCCAATAAAGCTATATCACGACTACTGTATATATAGAGCTATCTAAATGTATACTCAAGGGCGCGGATGCAACGTAAGGTACAAAGTTTTGATCAAGAACTAGATTCTCGCACATGAAAGTGAAAATTTGGACGGAATTTGGCCCTTTGGGCTGAATTTATTTCAGATAGATTGGAGAACAACAAAATCCATAATCCGTGTGCAATGATGGAACATAATTCAATCCTAAAAAGGGACCGAAATAGAGGGATAAAGTTTATCTGAATTTTTAGGGATTCCCAGTTACAGTTCAAAATTTGGCTGCATTTCAAAGAAAAATGATTTCTCAAGATGTCAAGGAAAACCCACTCCAAACTTCTGCAGGAATAAACAGGCAAACACGCACTTGTAAACCCTAAGCCCCTCTCAACCAAACCCCCCCCCCCGAAATTCTACCACAGGCCGAACTAATGCAGAATGCATTAAAAAGAGAGAGAAACGAAAACTCGAGAAACTGCAAAATATAAATAGATGATAACCACGCATACCATCATGACGAGGAAGTCGCAGAGATTGAATTTGCAAAGAAGAATATCTCCTAATTATTTGCCCATTGCCATCCTCACTCAGCCATGTCAACGGTGACGATGCCGACAAGCAGCTATGATGGCCTGTGCTCTGTGATTGCTTCTCCGGTCTCACTCTTGTCAACTGGGATGATGCAATGTGATTATCATTCCTATTCATCAAATTATATGAGAAGGATGGCAAAGAGGAAAGCAATCTCCTCCTCCTCCTGCTAAACCTAACGAGGAAGAGTGAAGAAGAAGACATGATTTTTGCAGCTGAAACCCTAATGGATGGATCACTATCGTGTTTGTGAGGAGGACTGGAATCAGTGTCTCGCTTTCATTTTCCCGCCACCTAGCTTCTTTATATCTGACAACTTTACTTTTACGTCTAAATTCCGTCGAGCGCGTATACTACGCTCCCGCGCGAGCATAGTATGCATACACTCTTCATTCAAAATACCTATTTAGGATTCTTTCCTATCGGGCCGGGCCGCAAGAAAGAACAGCAGAGATTCAAAAAATGTAGGGTTGGCGCTGAATCGTCTGATCTCATATGAGAATTGGCCTATTCACTCTTTTTTCATATGTTTTTTTTGTTGTTTTATTGGTTTTTTTGCTCATTAAAATGGCGATTCAAACTGCCGATTCATCGATCAGAACTGGATTTTGGGGTACCCGATCCAGCTCACAAATATTTTTTTAATATTACTAAAAGAAAGTAAAGCTCCATCTCAAAACCACATCTGTAAAACACTTTGAGGATGAAAAATATCTAAAATCGGTATCTACCACCGATTATTAAACTTTTTGTTGAAAATAATGTAAAGATCCACAATATGTGAATAATTGAAGCATACTTGGAAATAGACTATCTAGATCATGTATTACAATATCTATGACTTTTAAGGCTTGAAATCAATGGTTTAAAAAACGGATCGGTGACTCGGATCGGGCTTCCAAAAAACCGATCCGGATCGGCGAATCGGCGATCCGGATCGGAAATCGGGTGAATCGGTCAGAATAAAG